CCCCCCTCCGGCCAGCCGCGCTGCCCCCGACCTCAGCCCTTCCCTCCCTCCCTCCTCGGACCAGCCGTGCTACCCCCGGGCCCCTCCCACTCCCACATGAGCTGTGCTACTCCTGACCGACCCCAAACACACGCACCAGCCACACTGCTCCTGATCCCCTGCCCGGGGCACACCCCCCCACCTTCCCGCCCGGGGTTTAAACTTACCTCGCTTGCCTCGGAGGCAGGGTGCGGATGCTGCTCGATGAAAAGAGAACCTTTTTAGAACAGAATATTTGATTTTCAATTTCAAAATAGTATTTCATTTCAATTGTAGCTGGACACCCCCCCACATTTGCTATTTCAGGTGCAGTCTGAACTGTTATGCCAAGCATCAGAGACTCCCCAACGATGTTAGATGCTTGCTTAAAATTGTATTATTCCTTGGCTGCTTCCTGTTGGAGGCAAAGGAGAAGTAAGGGGACAGTTAAAATGGTGGTTGTTCTTTCTCACCTGTTAATGTTATTTGGTTCCTTAAACTGTTGGAGTGTTGTCTGTTAACCCCCTACCCCTTCCCTGAGGGAGTGCAGAAGAATGTCTGAGGTAAATAGCAGGAGTAAACAACAATGCACACGGCCCCCAGCAGGGTGTGCACACGGCCCCAAGAGGCCTAGACTCAGAGGCTGCATGTGGCTGATCCTTGCAGGAGAGAGGGACAGAGACACAGTGGTGGTGGACCATCAAGTGAAGCCTCCCAGAACGCCCTCTGCTCGGATCGCCTGGCCAGCGGACCAGCTTAAGAGTCAACTTGGGAAGATCAAAGAATATGAACTGCCTTCTGCTTGCCTTATCGTCCTGCCTGGGACTGTAAGTGTGATTGAGTGTATGAATGAGATTCCCCTCCCTTCCCAGTTTTAGTTGAATAAAAAATCCTTTACACTCCCATGTGGTGATCCCCTCTCCTTAGTATTTAAAGCAGTTGCAATCCACATCCCCTTGCAACACTTCCAAGGATAGGTAAAATTAATTATGATACAATATAAAATTAGGTCAAAATCAGAATGAAATATTCTGACAAACTTAAACAATTTTTATTCAAAATTTTGCTTCACAGGAAACATTCAAATTGGTTTTCATGCCATTTCTGAACAGAGATTATTTTTTAAATTAATTTTTCATATGACAGAATATCTGGTTCCTGCCCAGCTCTGCCTATCTACTATTCTTATGTTGGGTATGTTAATGCAGGTTCCTATTACATATGTGACCTTTTATTTTGCCATTCTAAACACACCAGAATTCAAGAATGAATAATCGTCAAGGCAAAATTAATGCCATGTCAGGTTTGGTATAAAGCTAGTCATAGCCTCTGGCCATTCATTTTTATTCATTGTTAAATTTAATTCATTGTGAAAGATCTAAACTTTAGAAGGAAGGTAGAAGATTTAAAACTAGGGCTGTCAAATGACTAAAAAATGTTGTGATTAATCATGGAGTTAAAAATTAGCCGTGATTAATTGTGCTAAAATTAACTGCACTTTTATACAATAATAGAATATAATTTATTTAAATATTTTGAATGAGTTCTACATTTTCAAATTTTCATTTTAAAATTGATTTCAATTACAAGACAATACAACCTGTACAAAGCTTACTTTATTTTTCATTACAGATACTTGCACTGTAAGTAAACGAAAGATACAGTATTTTTCAATTCACATAATACAAGTACTATAGTGCAATCTCTTTATTATGAAAGTTACACTTAGAAATGGATAATTGTGTACAAAAACCTGCATTCAAAAATAAAGCAATGTAAAATTTTGGAGCCTACAAGTCTACTCAATCCTACATTTTGTTTAGCTGATCACTCTGACAAAGATGTTTGCTTATAATTTGCAGGAGATAAGGCTGCTCACTTCTTGTTTACAATATCACCTGAAAGTGGGAACATGGCACAGCTCTGTTGTAGCAACTGTTGCAAAATATTTGTGTGTCACATGCACTAAAGATTGGTATGTCCCTTCATGCTTCCATCATCATTCCAGAGGATGTGTCCATGCTGATGATAAATTCTGCTCAATAATGATCCAAAGCAGAGTAGACTGACGCATGTTCATTTTCATTATCTGCATCAGATGCTACCAAAAGAAGGTTGATTTTCTTTTTTGATGGTTCTCTTCGTTAACTTCCACACTGGACTGTTCTTTTGAGACTTCTGAAAGCAGTGCCACATCTCGTCCCTCTCAGATTTTGGATAACACTTCAGATTCTTAAATCTTAGCTTGAGTGTGATAGGATTTTTTAGGATTCTCATAATAATATTACTTTGCATTTTGACAAATCTGCTGTGAAAGTGTACTTAAAACAAACATGCTGGGTCATCATCTGAGATTGCTGCCACATGAAATTAGCAGCAGACATAAATTCTCCCTCAAGAAGTTCAGTCACAAATTTAATTAGCACATATTTTTAAACAAATACAGGCAGTCCCCGGGTTACATGGATCCGACTTACATCGGATCCCTACTTACAAACGGGGTGAGGCAACCCCGCACTAGCTGCTTCCCTCCAGCAGACCAGGGAGACGCGAAGCTAGTGCCTCTCCCAGCAGACCACGGAGACGCGGAGCGGCTTTTCTCAGCAGACACCTCAGCTTGAGAATAAAGGACTGAGGGAAGTGAGGTGTGGGAGAATAAAACTGAGCTCTGGAGAAATGTTTGGCTACAGTTTCCCCTACAATATGTACCAGTTCCGACTTACATACAAATTCAACTTATGAACAAACCTACAGTCCCTATCTTGTACGTAATCCGGGGACTGCCTGTATCCTCAGCATAGAAGCATATCCTCAGGAACGGTGGATGAAGTATGAAGGGACTTATGAATGTTTAATACATCTGGCACATAACTACCTTGCAACACAGGCTTCAAAAGTGCCATGTGAACACCTGTCCTCACTTTCCAGTCACATTGTAAATAAGAAGTAGTCAGCATTATCTACTATCAATGTAAACTTGACCAAGAGACAATTTGCAGACATTAACTTCAAAATGTCATCAATCTCTTCTAAAATTCTATATCCTCCCTTCTACGTCATAGAATGAAAAATGTTCTACACAATAGCAATAATTTATTGCAAGTCCACAAGTGATTGCAATTTCCCTTGGATGCCTTCTTTTAAACAGCTAAATTCAATCTGCTGGTAAATGATGTATTTAAAAGCAATCACATACGCATGAAGTTTTACTTCTCTATATAGTGTGATGTTCTATTTCTCTTCTTTAGTTCTAATTCCAGTTCATCCAGCCTCCCATCCACTGTAGAATATGAACAAAACTCACAAAGCAGTGAAAGGTTAAGATCAGTCATGCCTTTTGCCTATGTCATTTCCATTCCCTCATTTTAATAAAAATCTGGTTAGCAGATACATTACTAATGTCAAAAGTCACTAGTAATAATATTAAACTCTGTAAGTATCCTTGTAAAGGGGTCTTATGTGTCAAGAGATACTGATAGTTTAGGAATTACAACACAACCATAATGATGACATAATGAATGACTTGTGTGCACAATACCAAAAATAAATAATGTTGCTACTTAGGCTTGTATGAGCTGCTGCTTCTATGGCTTGTTCAGATTCTATTCTATCTGAAGAGCTCTCTAATCCATTTTTTTCAGAAAAATAGAGATTCAGTTATTTATTGTATGCATGTACAGGCAGTCCCCGAGTTACGCGGATCCGACTTATGTCGGATCCGTAGTTACGAACGGGGATTTCTCGCCCCGGAGAACTAGAGCAGCGGGACGCCTGGTCCCGCTGCCCGCCTCCTCCGGGGCGAGAAAAGCTGCTCCCCGTCTCCCTGGTCTGCTGGGGGAGCCAGCAGACCAAGGAGATGGGAGCAAAGCGGCAGAGCACCGGGGGCCGGACCCGCGGCCGCTTCCAGATCAGCTGGAAGCGGCGCGGGTCCGGCCGGGTGCTCCGCCGCTCTGTTCAGCGTCTCCCTGGTCTGCAGCTGATCTGGAAGCGGGCGCGGGGCTGGGCC